TAACAATAACAAATAACATACACACACACACACACACACACACACACATATATATATATATATATATATATGAGATACCTTTGTTATTGGACAAAGTTGACATTCAAATCGATATAGTTTTCGTAATATGCAAAATATACACCGTTGTCGCATAAATGCTGAAACGTCACAAAAGAACCTACATACTTGACAACTAAAATGAGTGTTGGCACCGACACAGCCCATTGAAGCGATGAAATGAAAGCACTGTGCGCATGCGAGTATGCGATGCACGTATAAGATATCACAACCTAGCGTACAGATGGCATTTCCTTTACACGTTCAAACTATCGGAACGATCACACAATAAATAGATGATGAATTATATCGCAGCTCTACAGACATCGGCGTGTGAAGACATCCTTCGCGGTACTTTGCAAGGATTCACTTCGCAAAACGACATGAACAATACTACCATCATCTAAGCCACGGTACAACGACCTGTAGTGGAATAAGATACACACAATAGCCAGCGCATAGAAACATTCACAACCAGCACAGCAGAACAGGCGACTCTGACGGCCCACATTGTGCATGCACGAGAAAGCGGGAAATTCTCAAACCTTTACACACATATATATTCGACAGACTGCATAACATTATACATACTGCTGTGTATATGAAGAGGCATACCAGCATAGGATATGATTTCTATGATGGCGTATGTGTGTACCACATGAAACAGATGCATACGTAAGCACGCAAACAGATACCCACCTAGCATAACAACGGTATAAAGCCACACGTAAGTTATCTCATACGTTTGACGATATGTACACTTCGAACCTACCTTCCTGCGTGACGCCTCCTTCATCACCACCACACTGCTCTCGATCGTCGTTGGCTTTCGTGTGCGTGTAAGACGCCCATTTGCGTGTTCATCGCCAATCACTACCGTAGTCACACCTGCAGTAGTGACCTCTGTCTTTGCTATACTACTCCTTCGCCTCTGGGTGTTTGCTCTCGCCTTCTCCTTTATAACTAACCCACTCCCGGGTGTGCCTGTCACAGCATGTTCCTGTTTAGTACGCTTAGTGCGTGTTGTATGTGTGTCTGTATCCGTGGTAGACACACGCAAGCGTGTGGCGCCCCGAGTGCGCCTGGGACTCCCATCCAACGTACCCTCAATCAAGGTTGTAACGGTACTATTCACACCAGCAATAGGTACAGACCTCGCACGAGAGTGTACACTACTACCAGCATGTTCACTGTTGTTAGCTACCTCACTACCGTTGTCTGTATCGGCACCCGACCCACCCGCCTTGCGTGTGTGCGCTCTTCTATTAGTCTGTCTCGTACCGTTATCCTGTGCTGTTAAACCGGTATCTTGGATCGCCGTGGCTTGTTCTATTTTTAGCGTTGCTCTCGGCCCACTACCTTTCCTCTTTCTCGGAGCTACAGTGCTGCTGTCGGTACCTGCACTTTGTTCTTTTTTTAGCGCAGCTTCCTGAGCACTACTTTCGTGTGACTCTCGTGTCTGGTCTCGAGACGCACGCAACGCTTGCTGTAAAGCACGTGTCTCTGCACGTGTATGTCCACTCAGCCCATCACTTGAAAAGACTCCAAGAGAAGCCCTTGTGTTTTCTAAATTTGGCTCTGTCCTAATATCAACACCTTGAGCACTATCTCCACCATCCTCACCTTGAGGTACATCTGCATGTTTTAACGTGGTGAGTTCAGCATAGGGATGCGCTGGCACCCGCCTAGATCGCGTTGACAGACGAGGCATCTTCAATATATATATATATAGATATAATATATATATATATATATATATATATATATATATATATATATATAGTAGTAGGTGGTGGTGTGTGTGTG